CCATTTTCATTCTAAATTAAATATAATGATAATAAGTGGTTTGTCCTATGTCTTCATATCAAACAAAAAAAAATTATTAGTTCCCGCTTAGAAATAATTTTTCGGTAGAATCTCATCTAATAACTAACTACTAACAAGTAGTAAATTAAGGTTCTATTCCAACACAGAACGAAAAAAGACAATATACATGATGGGTCGAAAGATTTGTGATACTTCGCTTGATTCAGGGAAACTACAAGATATATAAATGTGCTCGAAAGGTTATGAATCCATTTACAAGTCCAATCCCAATATCTTGATTTCTAGTGGCAATACAGTGTGTACCCATATATATATCATCGGCTAATACACGACCAATTAATGCTTGGATAAAAATCCTTTCTGGCATCATCCCCTTCCGAGGACTCACAGAAATACCGCGGACAGTGCCACAATCTGTTCGACGTACAACAATGTGTTGAACTACTTCAACAAGTATGCGCGTGAGATATCCAGCATCTGATGTTCGTACAGCAGTATCCACAACCCCTTTACGGGCTCCGTAGCAAGAAATTATATATTCTGTTAAAGAAAGCCCTTCGCGTAAATTGCTTTGAATGGGTAAATCAATCATTTGTCCTTGAGGGTCCGACATTAATCCTCTCATACCTACCAATTGATGTACCTGAGATGCATTTCCTCTAGCTCCCGAAAAAGACATTATATGAACTGGATTGAAGGGGTCAGTCATCCTGAAATTAGGATTCATTTCTTGTCACAAATATTCACTTGTGGCATACCATATTTCAATAGATTGGCGTAATTTGTCTACCGCGTGTACATTCCCATAATGATGGTGTTTTTCCAAAACAAAACTTTGTTGTTCAGCATCTTGAACTAGCCATCTCTTCAAGGGTATTGTTAAAAGATCATCAATTCCTAATGAAATGGATGTAGCAGTAGCTTGTTGAAAACCCAGAGTCTTTACTTGATCCAGGATGTGTGATGTATATGCTGCCGAAGTGATCTATTAATCTACTAATAAGTCGTTTCATGGCAATTTCGTCTATCACTTTATTGTGAAATACCAGATTGGCCCGTTCTGCAATTGCTTGTCGCAAAGTCGAAAAATTATAACTTTCATCTCTCAAGTTTGCATTGCTTTCACATTTGGTCATCCATGTTAGACACGGCCACGGGCCGGTTTTGGGCCCGGAACCGACCCGAACCGGCCCGTTGACGGCCCAAACCGGCCCGTTGACCGTGTGAACCGGCCCGGAACCGTGAACCGGCCCGTCCTACCCGGGACGGGCCCGGTTCTTAGATTTGGTGAACCGTGAACCGCCGGGCCGGCCCGGCGGTTCACCCGAATTTAAAAAAAAAATAAAAAAAAAAATAATTCAAAAAAATTCAAAAAAAAGTGAATAACGGCCGGTTCACCCGGTGAACCGGCCCGGGTGAACCGGCCGTTATTTACTTTTTTTTTGAATTTTTTTCCCCCCCAATTTTTCCTATAAATACCCTCACACCCCAATTTTGGTTTTTTTTGAATTTTTTTTGCCCCCAAACCCCCCCAATTTTTCCTATAAATACCCTCACACCCCAATTTTTCCTATAATTTACTTATTCATCAAATATTTCAAACTTGTGCTTCTAAATTGACTTTTCATTTATTTCCTTTTCCTTTATCTATTTAAAAGTATTTATTTTAATTTACTTATTCATTAAATATTTCCAAAAAAAAAAAAAAAAACCGAAAAAAAAATTCAAAATTTCCGGGCCGACCCGGAACCGGCCCGGATAGGCCCGTGAAACCGCCCGAACCGGCGGGCTGACCCGGCCCGGTGAACCGTGCACGCCACGGGCCGGTTCCGGTTCCGGAAAATGTGAATCGTGAACCGGTCCGAACCGGCCCGGAACCGGCCCGAACCGGCCCGTGGCCGTGTCTAATCCATGTTCTTAGAAAACATATTTAGTCCTTCGTGTTTCAATAATTCAACATTTTTAGTCATTTCCGTCAATTTCCATTAGCACTAACAGATTCAAGCGTGTGGCCATGACTGCCTTAACTAACGAACTAACATTAAATTGACGTAAAATGTTCAATTATTGAAACATGAGGGATCAAATGTAATTTTTGATAATATTGGGGACCAAATATGGAATCAGTATAAACTTGAGGGGTGAAAATTGTAATTTTTCCTCACAAAGTCATTAAATACCAGCACAAAAACACTAAAATTAAGAATGCAATAAATATGAATATACACATAATTCTTGCCCAAAAAAAAAATTTGTACTAAATTTCTATGTCAAAATAGCAATTTCATCTACTTTAATGCATAAAAAGATTTAAACATCCTTGGTGGTGAGATTGGGTGGCAAAGCAGCAGGATCAAGTTCAAAGAATCTTTGATCCCCATTTTCACCTTCGTTTTTCAACGACGGAACCTTGTGCGAGAATCTCAACCTCTCCTTAACCGTCACCACTTTCGACAACTTTGTCCCTTCCTCGTGTTTTCGACTAAAAATCGACACGTAACCTTTCATCTTACTCAAGTACACAACCGGTGCACCGAAATCACTACAGTAATCCAACAAAATCTCCACTATTTCGAAATCGTACTCTTTATTATTATGTCTCTCTTCATCACGGTACCACTCGATATCCCAGTTCTTGAAAAGAGCCCAAGTTTCTTCCTTTTTCGGAAAAATCTCGTAATTTATAATTTTATTCCAGCTCAATAAGTGCGAGAAAATCGCATGATCTTCAATTATTTCGTTACACCCGTGTCTGAATTTCCCGCAAGAAGCCGGCAACCCCCGATTCAGCCATTTCTTTTCTTCCTCGTTATCGGGAACGCACGGCTCTAACCAAGTAATATCCATCTTGAAATCTCGTACGACGACCTTATTAATCAGTGCATAGAATCTAGGCATTGAATCCAACGTGTCGTAAACAGCCCATATTTGTCCGTCATTGAAATTACTCTTCGCCCGCCCTTTCTCAAAGTCGTTAAACTCCGATTCTGTATATTCAAGAATCAATTTTTTACGATTATTTTCGCTGACATACACTAATTTGCCCTGTTTTGCACTGTTCTTTTGAGGCTCGGAAGCAAATTTAGCTGCCTCTTTTTTTTCACCAACACTCCATATAGACGTACCGGTTTTCGGCTTTTTCGCACTAGGAACAAGAATATCCACATCATCACCGACGAATCCATCTTTTTCCGATTTCGCCGCCTTTTTCTTGCTAGACCTATTCGAATTATCCACCTTCAAAACCGGCCCTCTACTCTTACCTTTTTGCTTATTCGGAAATCTCGAGTTTTTGGCCAATGCATTAGCCCTACATTTACTGTCGTAAAAGCTCCGTTTCTCGTAATCCATGAGAACAGCTCTGGCCTCACAGATGAGCTGGAAAGCTTCGGCTGCGCCCGGAAATTTGTTCTTATCGGGGTGAAGGACGAGAGTCAATTTTTGACACTGCTTTTTGATCGAGTCCATATCGGCCGTTGGATCAACGTCGATGATCTTGTACCAGTCACGCTCGCCTTCAAACACCTTCTGTGCATCATCAGAACAGTGCACGTCGCAGACGTGTATTATTCGGACAACGTCGTCGTTTTCGTCGAGATTCGGGCAGAGTTTCTGTGCTTGGGCGGCGAATTTTCGGGCAGCTTTAAAATCTTTGTTCTTCATCTTTTCGATGGCGGCCGCTTTGGCGCTTTTTGCCTTCTCTTCTTTCTTGCTTGATGCCATAAAAAAAATTAGTTCTGTCGAATCCTAGGAAATTCAAATTTGTAAAAAAAGAGTCCTTCTGAGATAGAGTTTGGAACTGAGTATAACAACATGAAGAAGACGCCCTAAAAAAAAAAAGAAAAAAAAAAAAAAAAAAAGGAATTTTGTATTTTCGGAAATTTGGGGAATAGATTTTAGGAAATAAATATTGCATCATACATGAAATAAATATCTTATATTCGTATTATGTTTATAAATTATTAATTATATTAATATAGAAATACAGAAATTATCATGAATAAATAAACTGCTTCCAATTCCAACTACATAGTATCTTGAACTCAAATATAACTTGAGTTTTATTACATATTACATATCTCTTCAATTGTCCAAAAATAAAGTGTTTTTTTTCAAAAGACGGTAAAGAATAATCCCTTATGGTACAATCCCTTATGCAAAAAGTACAATCCACTTGGGGAGGAAGAAAAAAGAGTAATCATACAACAACAAATGAGAATGACACAAATCAACTCTCAACCAGTCACATCACGTGAGGCAAAAATATTTGAAATAATCCCCCGTGTCGAATAATTTATCCGAAATCGATGCCATGTGGGCCCTACGTAAAGAAAAACTTGCAACGGGGGGATTGAAGGAAGCTTTTGTTTATCAATGATCTCCCATGATTTCCTTAAATAGTTGCTTTGGAGCTGTAAATCAGATGACAAACAATAAGAGATGAATGCGAGAACCAGTCTTTTCAAGAATCAAAACCAATAGGAAAAGGTTTTCTTTTTCGTTTTTTTTTTGTTTTCTAATTACCTGGCAAACCGGTGAACCTTTCGTATTGTTCGTACGCCTGTCCAATGAACATTTCGACACCTGTCACGATTTTGGCTCCTACTTCTTGTGCTTCACCCAACAGTCTAGTGATTTTGGGAGTGTAGACAGCGTCAAAAACGAGCTCGTAATGCTTCAATGCTTCCTGTCATTAGCTTATATTCAGATACAAATATAGAAGAAAGATTCTTTATAGTCAATACTATTAGGCCTCGTTTAATTGGTAAGGTAAAGTCATAACTTCTAAGAACCTTATTCAGTTAATTTGAAAGCAGAAGTATATAACTAACCTGAGGAACAGGTGTCTCTTCAATCTTCGGTTGCATACCGATTGAGGTTGTATTTGCAAGTATCATTCCACTCTCTGGATGGAAGCTTTCTAGATCAGCAAGAGACAAGGCCTGCCCTCCAATAATCTCGGCGAGTTCTTTAGCTCGTTCTTACATAAACGAAAACAAAAACAAAAAAAAAATGTTTTAACATAACGGCAACTAAAGTATTAGGAAAGAAAGCATACGCACTCGAAATTGCATTGCCTCGTTTGGTTGGTATTAGAATATAATAAGGAAGTTGTCTTACATTAGAAATTTATTCTATTTGGTAATTCTTTTCTATCTATGTCAGTAGTTTCTGATTTACGTCTGTCTTAGGAGTAAGTCTTTCTTAGTTTCGAGTCGGTTGCTTCAATATAGTACATTATATAAGGCCTAGATGGGAAGATAAGTAATGGTCTTGAATCTTGATAAAATAATTGCATCTTAATTGATGTTTGGTTAGTCCAATAATTTATCGATCCGGCTTGTAAAACCCAAAAAATCCGCTCTTATCAATATTTATCTTGGGTTTTTTTTTAGGAGGGATTGTGTGTTGGAACCTCTTATCTTGGATAATCTCATTCTGCCAACCAAACGAGGACTAATTGTACAAGACGAAAGGATAGGACAGGGGTGCAGGGAAAGAGAAGTTCTAACCATAGGTACGATTAGCAATCACAACCCTTGCTCCCTTTTCTTTCGCACCATAAGCAAGTGCTTTGCCTGCACCACCTGCACCAATTACTACAAACAGTTTACCAGCCAAGGGTGACACGGGCCCACTTGCTCCATTTTCTGAAAATGCGGAAAAGAAGAAAAAAAATGGTATCAAGCTCAAGAAATTCAAATCGATCAAAGGGATGTATAATTCTAAAACAACGTAAGGAATTATAGAAGAAACCTCTTAGGCCATCCTCAATTGCAGAAATTGCACCAATGTAGTCTGTGTTGCAGCCGAAGAGCTTTCCGTCATTAGGTCGTCTGATGACGCAATTAACCGCCCCTATTGACTGGTAACATTCAAGAATCATCTTTAAAATGAAACAAATATATATATGTGTAGAGAGAGAGAGAGAGAAACAAACAATTGATTATCATAGTTAATTACCTTTGCTACGGGATCAACTTCATCACAACGCGAAAGAGCCACTTCCTTATGAGGAATGGTACAACTGTAATAATTTCAGCATTTTATTACGCTTATGAGGGGAATAAGAGGAAGAGAAAAAAAAAACACGAGAAATTCACCTGAAACCAGAAAAATCCGAGGAGGAATATGTGTCGAAGAATTTTGGAAGGTCATCAACCAATAAATGTAAAAAAACTCCATTAAAGCCATCTTCTCTGAAAGCTCTGTTGTATAATTTAGGTGATTTGCTGTGACTGACTGGCTTGCCAATTATCCCAAATACCTTTGTATCGGAATCAATCAATCTAAAATTGTACAAGTTAAGCAACTGTTCGATTGTTGGCTGTCCAGGAGCAGACACCTTTCCTGCTTCGAGAGTCCCGAATGTAAGATATCCACCAAATTTAGGACAAAGAATCCTCGACATTAATCCCCTCTCTCCCATAACCATGGCAATAATGGGTACCTGAAAAGACTATAAGCATAAAACCCTTGAAATAAAATATAATTCAAAATTACGCTGTTTTGAAATTGAAGTGCAGTTTATTTTTTGGAAGTCTTTAAAGAAACAAAAATCCATTTCGTCTGAGAGCATGATTCAATAAAATATGGATAGAAACTTGTTGTGTTGATTATAAGCTTACTTGACAATGAACTGTTATTTGAAAAACTCGAGCAACGTCAGTGATATCTACTGCTGTTGTAGCGAATTTAACTATGTCAGCACCAGCTGCTTGTATTCTGGCAACGAGGTTTCCCAGTTCTTCAGATGAAGGAGTGCTATCGTAATTGTGCGACGAAACTATAACTTTGCACTTTTCTGGCTTGCCTCCATTCAAAAACTTGTTGAACTCGTGCGCAGCCTTCGGAATACGTCAAACATACATCTTGCAGTCAATATTTGCGTTTTCTAATAAACGAAAAAATCAGGATGAAAAAGGTACCTTGAGTTCAATGTCAATGTGATCAGCTCCCAACTTCATGCATAGTTGAAGTGCATTGAAACGAGTGTTTTCATCGCCATCATACTGACCACCTTCCCAAATAGGTCTAATTAAAAAAGCATCAAATAAATCAGGTTCTCAAACTATATATATATATATATATATATATATATATATATATATATATATATATATATATATATATATATATATCCTCTCGTACGTACGTTTTTATGAATTGATTCAACAAATAAAACCAATATGCATATTTCCGGAAACTTCACAAGGTGACATCACAGACATTCAATTTCACACGTTTTTTTTTAATTCCAGACACCACTTGTTGTAATGTAAAGAATTGCTGATGCAGTAGATTTCTTATAGGCAGCAAGTCATCGTCATCTACACACACACACACACAAAAAAGGAATATAAGATCACATAGGCATCAAATTATCAACCTGTAAGTGAAGAGAGTGGGGAGAGGGCACTCTTTGATTAACTTCTGGATATCGGAATGTGGGTCGAAGCTCTTCAAGTGGTCCAACCTAATTTCGACAATATCAGCTCCCGTTGCCTTTGATTTGTGCATCAAATTCACCACTTGATCCACTGTGTCCGCCATTAACGGAGCACATATCAATGTCTCGTTCTTCCTCATTCCCACCCCACTCGCCATGCTTTCCACTGCCTGAGAACCCCAAATCGAAATACAACCTTGAAAAGGGTTTTTCCAATTGAACTTTAATTATTAAAAAAAAAAAAGAAAAAGAACACTGGAATTTTCCAATTGAAGTAAACGTTGGAAATTTCAGCAGAAACACGTGTGTGTGTGTATATATACTAGTGTTTTGATCAGCTGATTAGAACTATATATTTACTATAAAGGTTTATATAAGCCATCATCCACAAAAAAATAAATATCATCATCTATAAAACGTTGTATTCTGCTACACAAATATGTATATAACACCTAAACAAGGAGATTCAACATGTCACAGGCAGACGACAACTTAGAGGCACAAATTTATTTATGAAAATTTAAGGTGCAAAGAAGATAAGCACATTAAGCCAATGAAGGTTGGAATCCATGAAACACGAGTCCGAAGAAACTAACCGAGAAAATATATGAAAGAGACAATAGAGAGGAAGCCAAAGTTTTTATGTATGAAAAATGGGACGACTGGTTAGGAATCGATGATGATTCGATGAAGCATTGACAGGCTGTAGAATGACCTCTTCTTTCATCATGAACTGAATTTCTTCGCATTGGAGAAGATAAGAGGTGCGTAGCCAAAAACGAAAACAAAACGAGATAAAAACATAATATTAATATTCATAAAATTAAACATCTATAATTATGAAGCATATAACTTTACCAATTAGGGCAAATACCCATTTTTTGTTTACCTGATAAAACCCAAACAGAGGAAGAAATCAAGATGATGCCACAAAAAATCAACTCAGCAGCAAATAATCTGCAAATCCCAATTGATGAAGAAACAGATAACTTTTGAGCTAACTATTAGGGCTTTTATTTTTTGATAATAAACTATTAGGGCTTTTGACTACTGAGAAATAGTAAAATATTTCTAAGGAACGAAGCAGGTAATTAACGCAAGAAGTTGATTGATTGGCATATGGAAACAAAATCTCGTAATTTCAGTAATTAATGGACCAAAGCAAAATGGGAAAGAAATTGAAAGCCCAAATACAGCCAAGACTACAAAACCTGAGATCGGTGTCGGAGGCCGCTAGCGTACGCGCAGGTGGCAGAACCGGCGGCGTCGATGTCTGCGTGGCGAGCCCTCTTGATCGCCCCTCCTGGTCTGCGGGCGGCGGGACGGTGACGAGGGACCTTGAAGGGAGACGGTGGCGTTTTCCGGCGATAGAGAGACTAGAGTAGGTGGGTGCGGGAGGAACAAATTGAAGACGAAAAGACGAGAAAAAAATCAAAATAAAGAAATGGTAATGGGGATTGGGTGGTTTGGTGAGAGTGAGGATGGGAAATTGGAAGGTAGTGTGGTTGGTGAAAGTGTTCAACTCAGGCTTTTTATTTTTATATTTTTAAATATAAGAACATTAATAAATAAATTTTAGCAAATTTTTAACTTAGATTTTTTTCAATAATGGCAACAACAAAGAGCTCGAGCTCGTTATGCCTTACTTGATTAAGGGTGCGAACGAGTCGAGTTAGCTTGTTTTGGCAGCCTCGAGCGGGTCAAGTTTCTCTTTTTCTTTTCCGGTTCATGCTCGAGTCCATTTTGTAGAGTTGGAGCACGAGCCCAAGCTCATTTTGAGTTTTTTTAACTATTAATTTTATTATTAAAATTATTTACATTATAATAAATAAAAATTACAAAATAAACAATAAACTGTAAGTATGTATAGTTTTTAATATTTATATTATTTCTATAATATTTTATATTATTATACATTATTTAAATAAAAAATAATACATTAAAAAATTAAGGCTCGTGAGTTCACGAACAACTAAAAAAAGCTCGAGCTCGACTCGTAAAAAAACTTGGGTTCGAGTTCGAGCTTTCTTCGGACCGACCATCGAGCTCATCGGTTGGCTCATCTTGTTTACCGCCCCTAATATGGATGCACGGTTACTAAATCAAAAAGATGTTTCAAATAGCATTTTGCTAAATATTCAAGATTTGCATTGTTTTAAAGTTTTATTTTTGAAATAATATTCAAATCTTTATAATAAATTAAAAATACATTTACTATAAATTCATTTTCGAATCTTTTTGATATATAGTATAAATACTTATCCTAGCGTGCCTCTATCTTTCGAGCGTCTTCATGTGACATGTTTTTCTATTAATTAATTTTGGGTTGTGACGTCTTTTTTATTAGTTAATTTTCGGTTGTTATTTGTTAATTATCTCAAAATAAATATAATGAAAGTTCAAATATATCGGTTTTATGCCGAATCGATTCGAACAAATAGACGAAATCTAAACCGAAAATAAAGCGAATTGATACCGAAACCATTAACCGAAAACCGAAAAATCGATTAACACCGAACCCAAAAAAACTGACATATTCGGATTTTAAAATTTAAAAAACCAATATTATCGGTATGTGTTTGATTTATTGGAAAAACCGAACTGTACAGACTCATGCACACCCCTAATTTTGGGTGTTGGTTTCGTATAGTGGGAGCTTTATTATGTTTCTTAATTTGGTAATTTTTTTTGAGATCCTATTGTTCTAAAGTAGGATAATGATTTGAAATTGATTGTAACATAGGATTGAAATAAAATTTATAATATGAATTATAAATTATGGTTGTACAAATATGTTATACTTATATCATTCAATTGCCTTCACTAGTATGAGTGCTACTGCCGATTATTCTCCTCTTTTAGTTGAGATGGCAAATAAACAACCACGCGTTATCTACATGCTCACGAACGTTGACAAACTTAAGGTATGTGTTTTTTACCGCTTTACACTTGACTTACATTTTTTAAAACCTTTATTACATTGTATTGGCATTGTGTGTAGGATCTTATTACGAGCTATAAGCTTCGGAAGTCGCCAACATTCATCTTCTTTAGAATGGAGAAGGAACTTGACAGGTTCGTATGCGAGCAATTATTATTCGTGTACCCAAATTCTTCGGCATCGGATGGTTTTGAATGAACAGAGGTATAGGTGGGATCCAACATCGTTTAAGGTTGGCTATTTCCAGTCAATCTCCGATGATGAGAAAGAGATTGTTAGAAGATTGCGCACCATCCTCAATCGAAAGTGGTTAAGAAAGATGAATCTTCCTTCACACTTTAGCTGGGATGAAAGGGGTGTAGTTACGGACGTAAAACAACAAAGATGCGGTACTGAGTATATTAATTCTTTTATAAATTGTAGTTTGCATCTTATGTATTTTTATTTTTTTTGTGAAGGAACGCAGGTTGTTTTAGCCTCCGTACAAAGCGCATATTGCATAAAGACTGGAAGGTTTGTTCAGTTGTCGCGACAACAGTTGGTCGATTATAACAAACATAATAAACACGATGAATTAATAAGCGCAGGTTGTGCGTTACATCATTTGGCTTATCATAAGACCTACCGAGGTTTGTTTTTTGAAGCGCATTATCCTTTGACACATAAGCCTGGCAAAATCAAAATCAAAACGGCTAAAGTAAGGTTTTCGATTTTCTTCATGTTTGTGTCTTTTTTTGATTTTTCACATGTCGTGGTACTAAACTTTTTTCTGTCTTCTGCAGCTCCTTAGAAAAGGGGTCAAACCAGTGATGATTGATGACTATCATCGTGTAGCATCAAACAATGAAAGACAAATGTTGCTAGCACTACACATAGGACCAATTACTGCACTGATACGATCTTCTAAAGAGTTCGACGAGTATACAAGGGTGAGTTTTTTTTATTAATCTATATCTAAATTATTTATACATAAAAGTGTGAATACTAAGTGGTTTCTTCCATTTTATATATGGACAAAATACCCCTTAAAACAATTAAAACTTCAAGGTCAATTAAGTAAAATAAATAAGAATTAAATAGTTCATTAATACATATTAAATACAATAATTAATTATAATGCATATTAAATACAATAATTAATAATATCTCATTCATTGAGTATTTAGATTTCGTTAAACAAAAAAACAGTAACCACAACAGCTTAAATCAGTCAGTAATTGTTGGTTGAACCAACACTCGATTTGTCAAATTGCATTTTAGAATCATAATCAAACTATTAACCTTAAGGGTTGGTTAATGGTCTTGTACTTTTGAATTGTGAACCTCGGTCGATTCTGACTCGTGAACCGTTGGTTCACGACAATGATCATGTTTTCATCCAAAAAATTTCATTAATATTCACTTGTCCTTTGTTCTTAAAATAAAACGATGAAAGAGTGTTTCTGGAAGGTTTGAGTAAACAACCGGTTGTTGTTATTATGCGATCAAGCGAAGAGTTTGACAACTACAAAGGGGTGGGTAATCATAATTTCTAACTATAATTTTTAAAGTCATTGTGTGTATTTAAATTATTTAACCAATATTTTTTTCAATTGAACTTTTATTATTAAAAAAAAAACACGTATATGCTCCCAAACGCTGGAATTCTCAGCAAAAACAGAACCGTTGATTGAACATATCCAACATAAATAGTTAAAATCATATAAAATTTCAAAGATTTTAAGTTATAACTTTTAATTTTTTAATTTATTTTTTTGCTGCTAATAAGACTTGAAAAATTCAACTCGATAAATCTATTCACAATCAGCCAGAAGATACATAATAATCAACAATACTGTGTATCGAACGAAAAAATCTAAGTAAAAAAGGATTGTTGGATGCTTACAATTTCCATGTGATTCCAGGTTTCGGACGAAGTGGCGAGCCTTCGGAGAGGCGTACCAAGTGTGTGTGATTTATGTGTGTATTCTGCGTGTTTTGAGAGAGAGTGTGTACAATGTGTATATATACACACACATATATATATATATACATACACATATATATATATATATATATATATATATATATATATATATATATATATATATAAAAGTAAAACTGAGAAAACAGAAGTAAACAAAAAAATTCAAATAAACTTTGAAATTTATTAATGGGATAATTAGCAAGAACCCCTATCTAGGAAAATGAGTTAAGGAAACACCCTCTTCCAAAAATAATTAGAGAAACCCCTAGCTATATCCTACCCAAATATTATTTTAATAATTCTCAAACCACCCTTATTAATATTAAATCTCTTCAAATCCCTAACACCCATTTCATTGCCGTTCTCTCTTCTTC